GAGAGAGAGAGAGAGAGAGAGAGAGAGAGAGAGAGAGAGAGAGAGAGAGAGAGAGAGAGAGAGAGAGAGAGAGAGAGACCAACGACACGCTTCATAACATGGAGAAGTCGCCATATGCTCGAGTTGCACTCAATAAATCGGTCATCTGCTGTATCTTAGTTGTTGTTGTGTGTGTGTGTGTGTGTCACGTTCATGCGCGACAAGGTCTCGGATCTGGCAGACCATGTACACGAACAAGATGGTCGATGTGTCCAACCAAACTGACTCTGATCCGCTGCGTCCTCGTCAGATCCAGAAAGTTGATGCAAATGTCGTCATCATCCACCACATCCCTCGCATTGCATGGAACGCACGGGACGTCGCCTGCGAGGACGATTGTCCTCATCACTGCCGTCATCGTCAGGGGCATCGTCTGATGCGATCATGTCCTGCGGATCGACTTTATAGTGGATGAGCAGATTGTGCAAGATGCACACAACCATAAACTCCCGGCAAATGGTTTTCAAATTCCCGATTCGTAGTCATTAAAAATTCCTCCAGGTGCCCTTCAGAATCTCGAACGTGCGCTCAATGACATTCCTCGCCATTGAGTAGACATCATTGAATGTGACTTGCACGGGGGTACGATCTATGCGCGTGCTATGGGGAGTCATCAGCCAGTCGAGCAAAGGAAAGTCTGCATCTCCCAACAAATAGAGTGCAATAGATGTGCCATCCCGCAACAACGTAGGTTCTCCGGAAAACACACCTTCACTGCTCTTACCTTAAATGCAAAAACGGGACATTCGCAACACGAGAGAGTCATGGACAAATCCCGGGCTCCCGACATAAACGTAAGACATACGACACTCATGGTCACAAACGACTTGTGCTACAATGGAGAATTGATGTACAAATGGGTGCAGTTAATAACACCCACACACCAGGGAAACCTTTGTGTTGAAAGTGATTCATACAATCCTCTAAACACCATCCCTGTGGAAAGGAGATTACATGAGGGTATTCCCTAACAATAGCTTCGGCCACGTCCTTGTTGCTTTGCAGGGAAGACCTATGCCCAACTCGTGACTTGACTGCCTGTAGTAACCGCTAGCCGCCGACCTGATGAGGGCACATGCAAATTTATGCTCCGTCGGCAAAGGCTATCTCTGATTCGTGGTTTGGCCTTGTATCAACGGACCGATGCGTTGAAGCACGTTATGGAATAGTGGACGTGGCAGTCTGCAAAATCTCATGAACACCTTGTCATGATGGTGGCCTACACGTTGCAGGTCCTTCCAACCCCCCCCGCTCCGCTCCAACACCCAAATCCTCCTTCCGTTATCCATCCCCCCCCCATATTCCTCATCGCCAACCAATTCACAACCATGCTATGACAAACATATCCTGCAAAAAGTACGAAGCACTGCTGCAAGTCGGCGTTGAACACAACCATGACTACTGCATTCCTCCTTTTAATCCACTGCATGATCGCCATGATGGTTATGAACATCATGTCATCATCGACTTCCTCTCCTCCATTACGTTGGCGCTGATATGCTCCTCCGCTGTCTATGTATGCTCGGGTACCGCTTGCAAGAACAGGAGGAACAACAACTCGCGCTTTGAAAAATGTTGTCTTCCGACACCAACGTCACCCCCACGAATGCCAGTGACTATGGTGCAACTAGTCTGCTTCGTCTGTTGAATGCTCGCAGGGGCGCTCAGGGCGTCCGCGTGTGTGGTATCGACGACGATGCACTCAAAAGCTTCAAAGGGAACGGGTATGGCATTAGCAGCTCTACTCGTCCGTAACGGTGGAGTGGTGGACGACTCCCCGAATCACAACATGCAGCCCAACGGCCTGGAACCCAGGACTGAGGAAGGTATGTCACCCGCCTCCATATCGGTGTTGTGCAGGAAATGTCGCACGGTCACCCACTATCCACAACCGCCCTTCCATTACGGCCCCCGCCAACGGACCTGGAATGCCCTCAGCGCCCCCGTCCTTTCCCAACAAGGAAATACGCCCCAGAATTTCCTTTGTATTTCCTTTTTGGGTAACCGGTGCCGACTCCAGAGCAACATTTTGCGGCGGCGGTGGGGTCCCCTACTTTCCATCGTTTGGGCAGTCGGCAGGAAGTTGCGACTTCCGAAACCGTTTGCCGCCGTCCTGCTGGATGATGCTCCGGATGTCGCCCAATTCCCCTTTCCTTCTTTGGTACAGCCCATGACAACTCCCCCCCTCTCTTCCAACTGGGAAAGGGTGGATGGCGCCGGCCTATGCGTTGCACCTACCTCCGTGACCTACCGGTGGTCGCCCACCATTCAAGCTGCAGGCGACTGCTTCCGGATGGCGTCAGCTACCGCACCTTTTCCATGTCAGGTCACACTCTTCCCGTGTATCTAAGGACGCCCTCTAAACCCCTCTTAGCGTACGACGATATACCCGAAACAGCAATGCCTGCATAAAGCATAATGCTGAGTGGCGCCGCGATAGCCTTTGTTTTCGTTAGTGGCATAGCGTGGCGGGGTTTTACTAAGGGACCCCAGACAATTCACGGAGGTCTGTAGTTCAACTGTTCAGTGGCTTGACGGATGCGCATTTGTTTTCTCGGTGCAGCGCCGTCGGGATTTTCCGTTCTGGTTGCCGCTGCCGGAATGGAATAGGCAGGCGCGGAAGCGTCGGGTGCAAACGGCTGTATGGTAGTGTAATCTCTTCCTCTCTCTGTCTGCGGTGCTGTGCCCGAAGATGTGGAGAGTTCCGTTCACACTCGGCCTAAAGAGGAAATAGGTGAGTGCGGCGCGTGGTGAAGTGCACCCTCCCTCCCTCCCTCCCTCCCTCCCTCCCTCCCTCCTTGACTCCCTCTCTTCCTCTCGCTGTCAGCAGTGTTGTGCGCGGAGAGGTGGAGAATTCCGTTGACACTCGGCTCAAACACGAAATAGGTGGGTTCGCCGGGGTTCCGCGAAGTGCACCTTCTCTCTCTCTCTCTCTCTCTCTCTATGTATCTCTCTCTTCCCCTCCCTCCGTCCGTCCCTCCCTCCCTACATACCTCCTTTCGTCCCCCCTCCATACATCCGTCCATTCGCTTAGTGCTGCAACTCCATTTTTTGCGGGAGTGCTATGGTGCAAGTGTGGACAGGGTTCGTTCACGGTTGGTATTGGAAGAAGAAGGCGAGGATCATGCCGTGGATGCCGATATGGTGGGTGGGAAGGAACACTAGGGGGAGGTCAAGTGCCTGGTCAGGCAGACAGGAGAAGGTCGCCCTCGAAATCTTGAGGGAGTGGAGTAGCAAGAGAAGGACAAAGGGTGAGGGTGAGGATGCGGGATCAGGAGGATGGGAGGGTCGGGATTTGGTGAAGATGCGAGATCAGGAGGATGAGAGGGACGGGATTTGGTCAGTCAGGATGGGATGCAACGACCGAGGAAGCAGAAGGAGAGTCATCGGGATAGGGTGAAGAGTGCAGCGTAGGTTTGCCGGCGTTGAGGAAGTTGAGGTAGACGTCGATGGAGGCTCCTGAAGTGAATGGGAGGAGGATGTAGGTCGGGAACCCGATTTGCAAAGAAGGGTATGGGCAGCGCGGATTGGGGGGGGGGCGATCAGGCTGTGTGATCGAGAGGAGGAGAAACTGGAAGTGACAGGCAATCAGAGTGAGGATGTAGGAACCGATGCTGTGCAGGGGAAAGAACGCCAAGGCAAGAGGGGAAGGAATGCAGGTCGTGTAGGGGGGGATGCGGACAAGGTGGGGAAGAAACGATTGCAAGGCACTAAGATGGGCTCAGCATGGAGGGAGGAGAACACGGAAGGAAAGGAGGGGGCAGGATAATGACGAAGGGCCTGAATCACGAGAGGAATAGGGTAAATGTGGATATATGCAGGTGATGGAGAGAGAGCAATGAAGAGAGAACGAGGGACGGAAAGAGGAAGAGAGGTAAGGACACACGAGATGCGGAGGGGCCACATGGCCCGAAGACAATCCCAACGGAGGAGAGAGAGGCGTGGAGAAAGACGGGAAGAAGGCGACAGACACAGGACAAGGAGAGAAGAGAATGGGGAAAAGTGGATTGGTGGGGGAAAGGTCGGGAGGGGGGATTGAAGACAGAAGTTGAAAGAGTGAATCAGACAGGCGGAAGGGAGGCAATGGAGAAGGAAGAGAGGGAAATACGCGCGAGCGGAAGGAAAGGAAGAGAGGGAGGGCATTGGAGAAAGACGGGAATAGAGCGGGCACGGATACAGGACAAGGAAAGAAGAGCGATGGGGAAACGTGGATTGGTAGGGGCGAGATCGGGAGGGGGATGTAGGGCACAAGTTGAAAGGTGGAATCGTACAGGCGGAAGGGAGGCAATGGAGAAGGAAGAAATGGAAAAGGGCGAGCGGGTAGGGATGAATGTGTGTGTGTGTGTGTGTGTGTGTGTGTGTGTGTGTGTGTGTGTGTGTGTGTGTGTGACAAGAGAGAGAGAGAGAGAGAGAGAGAGAGAGAGAGAGAGAGAGAGAGAGAGAGAGAGAGAGAGAGAGAGAGAGAGAGAGAGAGAGAGAGNAGAGAGAGAGAGAGAGAGAGAGAGAGAGAGAGAGAGAGAGAGAGAGAGAGAGCATGAGGAGGACATGTGACGATCGTTAATAACCGGACTCACCCCCTAGAGCGAGACAGTGAGGGATGGAGAGCGAGGAGAGTAGTACGAGAACGGAGAAGAGTGAGGGGGGAAGAGATTGCGAGAGGGACAGGGCAGAGAGATGTCAGTGGGATAGTAACCTTTCGGGCCAGTAACTTCTCTTCATGAAGGCACGCCCGTCCTCGCTCTCCCAAGTCCCCGCCCTTGACGATTCGAAAATGGCAAAAGAAAAAGAAAAACAAAAGAAGATGACGAAGTTTTGAATTTTTTTTATATTACTTCATCCTTTTGAACTCCTTCTCTATCATAAACCTTTGCAATTTTCTTTTCCTGTGTGCTGCTATGCTGTCGTCTTTTTTTTTCGTGTCTGGAGCTCCTTCCGTCACTCTATGGCTATCTTACATGTATATCTACATATGAAGATGAATTTCGCTCTCCGCTCTCCTTCTCCTTCCTTCTGGTACGGATGTTGTCAGACCGCTTTCGATGCTGTCAGACCGCTTACGATGCTGTCAGACCGCTTACGATGCTGTCAGACCGCTTACATCTCTCCTCTTTCATATCTTGCGTGTGCGGACGTTGGTGACGCCAACACCAAATGCTCATCATCAGCTCTTTGCTGAAATCAAATGCGGAAGTGATGATCGCATGTGAAAGATATTTTAATCAAGTCATGAACGATGTTGTCAATTCCGCAACCAATCAATCCTGTCAGTCGAGCCTTCTTCCACTCATCAAGATGGTGAATGGATTGATGAAAATCACTGGATGGATTTGACCAAAGTCTGTAAACGAGCGGTCATTGGTTTCGTTGGCTGACTTTCCGCCACTGTTTCGTCGTACTCACGGCCATCATCGACATGCTACACACGTCATCAGATGCTTATCACATTTCATGATCTTCCTGGAAACAAGCGTTGAACTCTGTTCCACACAGTAGACGTTCTCAATATAGCTTTAGCAGAATTCTTCCTTTCCTCTTTCTTTCTCTCACTGCATCTCTCTCTCTCTCTCATTGAGCACAGAGACAGACAGAGAGAGAGACAGAGACACAGAGAGACAGAGAGAGAGAGAGAGAGAGAGAGAGAGAGAGAGAGAGAGAGAGAGAGAGAGAGAGAGAGAGAGAGAGAGAGAGAGAGA